ACTGCACTCCACAATGTTTACCCTCTCAATTTTCTTTATCTCTGAACTGGTCTCTTATTTTATTTTTCTGTCCCTCTTGTATTGTGTTCTGTGATAATTTCTCACTATTATCTCCCATTTCATTAATTCATCCTTCAACTGTGCTCAATCAGAAGTTTGTTTGTTTGTTTTATTTTTTTGAGTTGGAGTCTTACACTGTCACCCAGGCTGGAGTGCAGTGGCAAGCTCACAGTCACCCATCACAGCCTTGGCCTGCTGGACTCAGGCAATCCTTCTGCCTCAGCCTTCCAAGTAGCTGGAATTAGAGGCACACACCACCACGCCTAGCTAATTTTTTGATTTATTGTAGAGAGGAGGTCTCACCAAATTGCCCAGGTTGGTCTCAATCCCATGGGCTCAGGCAACCCTCTCACCTCAACCTCCCAAAGTGCTGGGATTATAGGTGTGAGCCACCACACCCGGCCAAGTCTGCAGTTTTTAATCATTGGTTTTTTAAAAATTTCAATAACCAGACTAATTTATTCTTTTTATGATCTATTAGATTTTGCTTAATCCTTCTTGGTTTTGTTTTTTAATTATTTTATTTACTTATTTTTTTGAGTTGGAGTTTCACTCTGTTACCTCCAGTGGCATGCTCATGACCACCACAGCCTCAACCTGCTAGGCTCAGGTGATCCTTCTGCCTTAGCCTTCCAGGTAGCTGGAACTACAGGCAAGTGCCACCATGCCCGTCTAACTTTTTGATTCATTGTAGAGATGAGGTCTCACCAAGTTGCCCAAGCTGGCCTTGAGCCTGTGGCAATCCTCTCACCTCAGCCTCCCAAAGGGCTGGGATTATAGACGTGAGCCATCACGCCTGGCCATTTTAAAATTATTTTTAAAGTTATGTCTTCATTGATCTCTTTGTACATTTTCAGTATTACTTCTTTAAATGTCTTTGTATTAAACTATACTTTTTTTTCTTTTTTGAGTTGGAGTCTCACCCTGCCACCCAGGCTGGAGTGCAGTGGCACACTCATAGCCACCGTAGCCTCAACCTGCTGGGCTCAGGTGATCCTTCCGCCTCAGCCTTCCACATAGCTGGAACCACAGGCATGCACCACCACCCAGCAAAAAAAAAATTTTTTTTTTTTAATTGTAGAGACAAGGTCTCACCATGTTGCTCAGGCTGGTCTCGAACTCCTGAGCTCAGGCAATCCTCTAACCTCAGTCTCCCAAATTGCCGAGATTACAGGCATGAGCCATGGTGCCCAGCATATCAAGTACTTTTACCTTTCCCTGAAAGTACCAAGCTCCTTACCACTATCACTTTTTTTTTAACTCGGAGCTAGTGGTTTCAGTTCTACTAATCCCACTGTTTTGTGTTCATATTCCAGTCTACAGAGATGTTTATCTTTTTTATCCCCCCAAATGTTTAATTTTTACATATCTTGGGGGGAAAAAAAAAGAAAAACCAAAGTCACAAACATAATTAGTCCCAAGACATGTGCTCAGTGCCATGTTTGGCAGGTTGGGTATGGTATGGCCAGAGTCGCAAGGGGTGAAAGTATTTACCAATATAGTTAAGAGTTTAAAAAGGTAGACTTACTACAGAAAAGATATGTTGTGAGGGCACAATGGGCAGGACAACAGCAAGAGTGTCTGCTGCCCAAAGATGTTTATCTTATATTAAATGCTGACAATATCTGGGTTTTACCATTTTTCTTTTTTTATTCTTTTTCTATTCTTTTTTCTGGGTTTACCTTTTTATATTTTGTCCATTGTTATTATATGTTTGTCACAGAAAAATTTTTATTTTTATTTTTAATTTCTGAGTTGGACTCTCATTCTCTTGCCCAGGCTCTCACTCTGTTGCCCAGGCTCTCACTCTGTTGCACCATGCTCACAGCCAGCGCAGTCTCGACCTACTGGGCTCAGGCAATCCTTCTGCCTCAGCCTTCCAAGAGGCTGGAACTATAGGCAAGCACCACCACACTCAGCTAATATTTTTCATTTAAAAATTTTTAAAATTTTATTTTTGAGTTAGAGTCTCTGTTGCCCAGGCTTGAGTGCAGTAGCACGCTCATAGCCACCACAGAGAAGGATTTTTAAAAACATACATTCACTGTGCATGTTTTACCAGAAAATTATTCTAGATTAGAAAAAAATTTTAAAACATAAAATCTCCTGAACCCCTCCAAAGTTCTATAAGGTAATAGGATCTCTACTTTTTTTTTTGAGTTGGGGTCTCACTTTGTCACCCAGGCTGGAGTGTAGTGGCACACTGCTCATGGCCACTGCAGTCTTGACCTGCTGGGCTCAGGCGATACTTCTGCCTCAGTCTTCCAAGTAACTGAAGCTATAGTCATGCACCACCATCTCCAGCTAATTTAACAATTTGCTGTAGAGACAAGGTCTCGCCATGTTGCCCAGCCTGATCTCAATCCCGCAGGATCAGGCAGTCCTCTCCCCTCCATCTCCCAAAGCGCTGGGATGATAGGCATGAGCTACCATATCCAGCCTGATCTCTATTTTCTTTTTTGAGTTGGAGTCTCACTCTGTCACCCAGGCTGGAGTGCAGTAGCACATTCACGGCCACCATAGCCTTGACCTGCTGGGCTCAGGTGACCCTTCCACCTCAACCTTCCAAGTAGCTGAAACTACAGGCACATGCCACCACACCGGCTAATTTTTTGATTTCTTGTACAGATAAAGTCTTGTCAAGTTGCCCAAGCTACTCTTGAACCCATGGGCTGAGGCAATCCTCTCACCTTGGCCTCCCAAAGTGTAGGGATTATAGGTGTGAACCACTGTGCCGGCCTGATCTCCACTTTCAATGAGGAAACTGAAGCTCCAGAAAAGTTAAGTGAGTTGTTATTAATTACATAAGTAATAAGTGATAAGGAAGTCAGGAATATAATCCAGATACTCTGATTTATTGACTTGTCCCATTTTATTATATAACTCAGTCATTTCCAAGAAAATTTTCCTAACTTTTCCTCAGCTTCTCATTCAGTACAACCAAGCTGAGTATTCTCCATGTTCCCTTGGCCATTCAAGAAATCAGATATTCCACTATTCCCTCCTAGGTCAGGAATAACTGGGAGTGCAAAAGATCTTTCCTGGTTCCTAAAATAACTCACAGTTTTATTAACTCTCTGCCTCTCAGTCTTGATTTCTCTCTTTTTTTGTTCTGTTATTAGGCTGGAGCTAGGTGGTATTTCCTATATTCTTTTTCATTATTTTTTAAATTTGTATTTATTTGGGTTGAAGTCTCACTCTGTTGCCCAGCCTGGAGTGCAGAGGCATGCTTATGACTACTGTAGCCTCCGCCTGCTGGGATCAGGCAATCCTTCTGCGTCAGTCTTCCAAGTAGCTGGAATTACAGGCGTGTGCCATCAAGCCAGACTGACTATCTATCTATCTATCTATCTATCTATCTATCTATCTATCTATCTATCTATCTATCTATCTGATGAGGTCTTGTCAAGTTGCCCATACTGGTCTCGAACCCCTGGGCTCAGGCAATCTTCTTGTCTCCACCTCCCAAAGTGCTGGGATTACAGGTGTGAGCCACCATGTCTAGACAAGATTAGTTTTTTTTTTTTTTTTTGAGTTGGAGTCTCACTCTGTCCCCCAGGCTGGAGGGCAGTGGCATGCTCACAGCCACTGCAGCCTTGACCCGCTGGGTTCAGGCGATTCTTCCACCTCAGTCTTCCAAATAGCTAGAACTATAGGCAAGCGCCACCATAATGATTTTTTTATTTACTGTAGAGATGAGGTTTTGCCAAGTTACCTAGGTTGTTCTCAAATCCCTGGGCTCAGGCAATCCTCTTGACTCTGCTTACCTAAGTGCTGGAATTACAGGCGTGAGACACCATGCTTGGCTGAGATTAGTTTTAAACATACAGAGAATTCCACCCCCTCCCCAGGGATTACCAACCTGCTTGCCTTTATTAAAAAGTATTTACTAGGCCTGTGTGGTGGCTCACGCCTATAATTCCAGCACTTTGGGAGACTGAGGTGAGAGAATTGCCATGGGTTCAAGTCCAACCTGGGGAACTTGGCAAGATCTCATCTCTACAATAAATCAAAAAATTAGCCAGGTGTGGTAGTGCATGAGTGTAGTTCCACCTACTTGGAAGCCTGAGGCAGAAGGATCACCTGATTCCAGTAGGTTGAGGCTGTGGTGGCCATGAGCAGTGTGCTACTGCACTCCAGCCTGGGTGACAGAGTGAGACTTCAACTCAAAAAAAAAAAAAAGAAGATATATCTGATATTCTAAGGGTGTATAAAAAGGAGGATATGACTTTGAAGGAAGGTGAAGAAAGACTTCTTTAAGAAAGCAACTTTTAACTGTAATCTAAAGGAGAAAAAGTTAACTACATGAAAAGAAGAAACTGTTTCTACCTGAATGCATATGGGCATGCATATGGGCCCTGAGGTGGGTGAAAATATTTGAGAAGAGTAGCAAAAAGAAGGCAAGTGCTGTGAGAAAATAAAAAACAAAACCGTTACGTCCAGGTGTTTTGCCTCTAACTTAAAAGAAATTATAAGCTATCGAAAAGTTTAGGTTATTGCCAGACCATCACCACCATTGTCTTGCTAAGCTATGGTGCTCTTTGTGCTATAAGCTATGGCCAGACCATGTTTCCTGGCTTTGGCCCTCTACCCTACCTTGGGGAGGTAAATATTCTCTTTCTCTCTCTAATTTACTTTTAAATAAACTATATTTTTTTTAAAAGAAAAGTTTAAAGCAGAAGAGGTGATAAATTACATTTTAATTGTGGAAAAAGTCATTATGGCCACAATGTACATAATGGATCAAAAATGGAAATATGGGCTTCACTACATAAAGAGGTGAAACAGGTCACTGGAGTTAGCTAAAACAAAAAAATAATGGTAGATTGAACTACTGTGATAGTGGTGGAGATGCAGAGAGGCAGATGAGTTTGAAAAACACTTAGGAGGCAAAATCAACAGAACTTGGTGAAGGACTGACCCAACCATTGAAAACTCACCTTCCATAATTAGATGAATGCTGCTATTCACTAGGAGGAAACACAGTGAGTCAAAGACTATTTGGTTTTGGACGAAGTAAATTTGAAGACTCTTACTAGGAGATAAAGTTGAACACGTGTCTAGAGCTTAGAGGTCTGAGTCAGAGATATAAGTTTGCAAATTATCTACATATAAGTATTGACCATATCAGAAACACAGAGGAGATTATCTAAGGAAAAAGCACAGAAAAAAAGAGAAAAAATCCAAGAATAAGTCTTGTGAAACTCCTTCTCTAGTGACTGAGTAAAAAAGATTATAAATCTGCAAAGGTGTGAGAAAGAAGATTATCTACAGAGATAGGAGAAAAACTAAGAAGGCATCATTTTACAGAGTTAAAGAGAATATATAATTCAATAAAAAAGTAATCAAATACATAAAATAGTAATCTTTCTTTTTACCCAAATTTTACATCATAATCAATATGGCACCACTGTACATTTTTACTTTTCTAATTACTCATGTTTATGTATACTTACTTAAAGTATTCATCAGAAGGCCACTGTTGTCATGAAATCTATTATGACCAGCTTCTGTATCAGTAATCTTGTACTGTATGGCAGACATAGCAGGATTTCCTGAGGTAAAATTCCCTGGATCAGAAGGAGAGGATTTGTACTCTTCATCTTCTGAATCACTAGAACTATCCTCACTACTTGAAGATGATGAACTTTTGGAATCTGATGAACTATCACAACTACTCATCTGGTCCATTAGACTAGCTTCTGCTTTCAGTTCTGAAAATAAAACAAAAATTACTAGATTAGGTTAAATGAATAATGTTTAATAAGTATAATAAAATTTGAATATATTTGTTTTTAAGAAATTGTGAATGAGGAATAAATAAAACCAAACATACATTTACAGTCTTTAAAGCATTTTATGTAAACAAACAAAAAACTCCTCTACCATCAAACCATACTTCGGTGATGGAATTACGGAAATTAAGACATAGACAATGTCTAAATCCAAACAATAGTACTTAAAAATAAAAGAGTAACTCAAGTATAAAATAATGTGAAAAATAAAAATTTAAAACTAAAAGTTAAACTAAACAAAAATTCAAATCTACTTGGTAAAAGCTGTATTTTAGAATATACCCAGAGGAGCTCAAATCACTGTACAAAAAAGAAACCTGCACACTCATGTTTATTGCAGCACTATTCACCATAGCAAAAACATGGAACGAACCATGTTGCCCACCAAAACTGAACTGTATTAAAAAAACGTGGTACATATACAGGATGAAATATTATGTAGCAGGCTGAGCATGGTGGCTCACACCTATAACTCCAGCACTTTGGAAGGCCAAGGTGAGAGGATTGCCTGAGCTCACAGGTTCAAGACCAGCCTGGGCACCTTGGTGAGACCTTATCTCTACAATAAATAAATAAAAAATCAGTCGGGTGTGGTGGCACATGCCTGTAGTTCCAGCTACTTGGAAAGCTGAGGCGAAAGGATCAGCTAAATCCAGCAGGTTGAGGCTGAGGTGGCAGTGAGTATGCCACTGCACTCCAGCATGGGTGGCAGAGTGAGACTCCAACTTAAAAAAAAAAGAAAAAATATATTATGCAGTCATACAGAAGGAAAAAAATTAAGGACATCGCAGCAACTTGGATGGATTTAGAGTCTATCATACTCAGTAATCTATTACAGAAACAAAGAACTGAGTACCTCATGTTCTCACTCATAAGTGGGCCCTGAAATTCTATCATAACACTACAAGAAAGCAACTAGCAGTAGTGGCACACTGTCAGGAAAGGGGGGAACGTAAAATCAATAAAGGTACCTGATCCTAATCTAAGTGAAGACCAAGGGGAGGCCCAGACTTCACCTGTACCTAGACCACTTATGCACTCAATTCTGATTTGTATCCCATATCTTTAAAATAAAAAAAGAGAGAAAGATCATCTGAATAGGTAGTCAAACAAAAAAAAGCACTGAATTTTAATTCTGTTTTATTCCCTTAGTACATATAATACAATGTGATAATGTAACAGATGAACTTCATTCTTTTCCTGATTGTCCCAGAGAATATTTTGATGAAGCATCTTCAGGTTTCTTCCCGATCCCTTGATGGGCATTCAACATATTCTAAGTATTTTAAAAAATTTATTATTATTATTTTTAGAGATAAGAACTCCCTCTATTTTCCACTCAGGAGTGCAGTGGGGCAATCATTGCTCACTGCAGTCTTCCACTTCAGCCTCCCAAGTAGGTAGGACTACAGGTGCACTCCACCAAGCAGCCTCGACCTGCTGGGCTCTGGTGATCCTTCTGTCTCAGCCTTTCAAGTAAAAAAGAAACATTTTTGGTGGGGGCATGAGAACTCACTATGTTGTCCAGGCTGGTCTCGAACCCCTGGGCTCAGGCAATGCTCCTGCCTCAGCCTCTCGGCTGGGATTACAGGAATGAGACAATATGCCGGGCCTAAAATATTCTAAGTATTTTTGAAAAGCCAGTTCCCATTATAACATTGTCTGTAAATATTTCTGTAGATAAAAGAGTAATAATGTTGATGTCTTTTGTGGTTTAATGTTTTTAAAATTCTTTTTTTTTTTTTTAGTTGAAGTCTCACTCTGTCGCCCAGACTGGAGTGCAGTGGCGGCTCCCGGCCACTGTAGCCTCAACCTGCTGGGCTCCGGTGATCCCTCCGCCTCAGCCTTCCGAGTAGCCGGAATAACAGGCGTGTGTTACCACGCCCGGCTAATTTTTTGATTTAATGTAGAGATGATGTCTCACCAAGTTGCCCAGGTGGGTATCGAACCCGCGGGCTCAAGCAATCCACTCACTTCAGCCTCCCAAGGCGCGGGATTACAGGCTGAGCCACCAAGCCCGGCTTCAAATTCTTTTTAAGACACAAAAAAATTATGTTGGGAAGATCCTCAGGTACCCTTTAGATCAACCTCATAATTTTACCAATGAGAGAATGAAGGTCCGAAAGGCCAAAAGTTGTCCGATATTAAGGGGTAGAGAAAAGTCTATAGATTTTCAAGTCAATATTTTTCTAGAATATGATATGAATGTCCAATAGTTGAACAAAATTTTTTAAACAACAAAATTATAAATGAATAACATATTTAGTTAACACATTGCTATTTGATATCATCTTAGTACACGGTTACATTAAAGTAACTGGTAATTGCTAGCCCATTCCCTCATTCTCCCTATTATAGACACACTGGGTTCCTTTTGATTATGTGACCACATTAAATTCATTTCCATCCTAAGTTCTTTGCACTGGTTGTTTTCTCTGCCTGGTACAATCTTCACTCAGATCTTTTGTTTGTTTGTTTTGTTTAACACATGATTTGTATACAGTAAAATGCATGGCTAGATGAATTTTAGCACACATAAAACCTGCATATTTGGTGAGATAAAGATATAGAACATTTCCATCCCACAAATGTTCTCCTATGCTCTTTTCTAGTCAATAACCACCACTTTGATCTATGTTAAAGATTTTTGTCTATTTTGAACTTTATATAAATGGTTTCATTCAGCATGCGCTTTTTTGTGTTTGCCTTCTTTCATCAGCATAGTTTTTAAATATTTGCTTATGTTATTGAATGAATCTGTTGCTCATTCTTCTCTATTGCAATGTTATTCCATTGTATAAATATACCCAGGCTGGTCTTGAACCAGTGGGCTCAGGCAATCCTCTTGCCTCGGCCTCTCAAAGTGCTTGGATTATAGGCATGAGCCACCACACCTGGCCTCTACAAGTCTTTTTGTGAACATGTGCATATATTTTTCTTGGGTAGAAAGTTAGGAGAGAAATTGCTGAATCATAAGACAAACAGATTCAATTTTATTAAAAACTCCTAGTTTTCAAAGTGGTTTTACACTCCTACCAACAATGCATAAGGGTTACAGATACTTCCTATTTTCCCTCACTTAGGAACACACACACACACACACACACACACACACACACACACACACACACACACAGTATAGCAAGTCTGATGACCATATAATGGGATCTTATTGTAGTTCTAATTTATATTTCTCTGATAAGCAATAATATGAAGCAGTTTTTCATGTTTATTGGCCATTTGGACATACTTTTTTTGTGAAAAGCTTGTTCAAGTCTTTAGTTCATTTTTGTATTTGATTTTCTTTTCTTTTTATGGATTTGTAAGAATTCTTTATAGCTAGTTCTGCCTATGAGCTCGATGTTAGATATATGCATTTTGAATACTTCCTTCATGTCCCTCTAAGTCTGAAGCTAGCCTTTTCACTTTATTAATGGTGTCTTCTGAGGAGATTGTAGATCTCTGAAAGGCTGTTTCATTCACAGATCAGTTTAAATGTAAACTCAGAGGACATCTTCCTTTTCAACACCATTGCCCTGTTTCATTTTCTTCAAGAAACTAATTTCTTTCTTTCTTTTTTCTTTTGAGTCGGAGTCTCACCTTATTGCCAAGGCTGGAGTGCAGTGGCATGCTCACAGCTACCACAGCCTCGACCTGTTGGGCTCAGGTGATCCTTCTGCCTCAGCCTTCCTAGTAGCTGGAACTACAGGCACGTGCCACCACACCCAGCTAATTTTTTGATGTATTGTACAGACGAGGTCTCGCCAAGTTGTCCAGGCTGGTCTCGAACCTGTGGGCTCAGGCAATCCTCTACCTTGGCCTCCCAAAGTGCTGGGATTATAGGCGTGAGCCACCATGCCCAGTCAAGAAACTAATTTCTGAAATTCATTTGTATATTTATTTGCTTATTTACTGCTTGTTTTGCCCAACCCTCATCCACATTCCCAAATATAATGTAAAAATAGGAAAGCTGTCTTGTTCATGTTGTATAATTCTTTTAATACAATGTTGGATTCAATTTGCTATTATTTCATTAATAATTCTTGAGTTTCTGTTTATGAGAAATACTAGTCTATAGTTTTCTTTTTCTTGTACTGTTTTTATCTGAATTGGGTATCAGGGTAATACTGGCCTCATAAAATGAGCTTAGATATATTCCCTCCTTTTCTATTTTCTGGAAGGATTGTGTAATTTTGGCATTATTTCTCTTTAAATGTTTTGCAGACTTCTGGGTCTGGCTATTTCTTTTTTGGGTGCTTTTAAAGTACTTATTTAATTTCTTTAATGTCGATAGAGCTATTCAGATGGTCTATCTCACCTTGGTTGGATTTTGGCAGTTTTTAGCTTTTGAGGAATCAGTCCATTTCTTTTAGATTGTTAAATTTATGAGCATACAGTTATAATTTTTTATAATATTTTTAATGGCACTGCATCTGTAGCAAACGAATTATTCTTCTGATTATAGAAGTGTACTTTACACTTCTGATATTAGTAATTTGTGTTTTCTATCTTTTTATTTTTGTCAGTCTCACACGAAGTTTATCAACATTAATTTTTTCATGAGCCTCTTTTTTGCTTTATTTGATTTTTCTCTATTGTATTCAGGTTTTCAATTTCATTGATTTCATTTCTTGTTTTTATTATTTGCTTCTTTTTGCTTACTTTCGGTTTACTCTGCCTTTTTTCCCAGTTTCCTGAGGTAGAAACTTAATTGATGTAATACTTAATTTCTAATGTAGTGCCATAAATTTCCCTCTCAATAACTTTTTAGCTGCATTCTACATATTTTGGCATGCCAAATTTATTTTATATATTTAGTCATATGTATTTTTAATTTCCTTTTATTCTTCTTTAACTCATGGATCATTTATAAGTGTGGTGTATAATTTCTGAATATTTAGAGACTTTTTTCCTGTTGTCTGTTATTGATTTTCACCTTGATTCCATTATGGTCAGAGAAATAGTCTGCATGATTTCAGTTCTTATAAATTTATTGAGATTTGTTTTATGGCCCTGGAAATTGTTTATCTTGATAAATATTCCATGGGCTGCCGGGTTCGGTGGCTCAGCCTGTAATCCCGCGCCTTTGGGAGGCTGAGGTGAGTGGATTGCCTGAGCCTGTGGGTTCGAGACCCGCCTGGGCAACTTGGCGAGACCTCATCTCTACAATAAATAAAAAAGTAGCTGGGCATGGTAGTATGTGCCTGTAGTTCCGGCTACTTGGAAGGCTGAGGCAGGAGAATCACTGGAGCCCAGCAGGTCGAGGCTGCGGTGGCTGGGAGCATGCCACTGCACTCCAGTCTGGGTGACAGAGGGAGACTCCAACTCAAAAAAAAAAAAAAGACTCCAACTCAAAAAAAAAACACAAAAAAACCAACAACTGGTGACATCTTAGATATCTATAGTCTGGCTATAGCGAACAGGAAGATGCTACGCAGAATTCAATTTCAGTCACTACAATTGCCAAAAAGGGCTGGGCGTGGTGGCTCACACCTGTAATCCCAGTACTTTGGGAGGCAGAGGTGAGAGGATTGCCTGAGTCCAGGGATTCGAGACCAGCCTGGGCAACTTGGTGAGTCCTTGTCTCTTCAATGCATCAAAAAATTAGCTGGGCATGGTGGCATGCACCTGTGGTTTCAGCTACTTGGAAGGCTGAGGTGTAAGGGTCACCTGAGCCTAGCAAGTTGAGGCTGTGGTGGCCGTGAGTGTGCCACTGTGCTCCAGCCTAGGCAATAGAGTGAGACTCTGACCGAAAAAACAAAAAAATTGTCACAAAGAAGAAAACTCCAGTTATACATCTAAACAGTCATTTTCTTTGCTCTGAATAATTTAAAACATACAAGTCCTCTTATATGGATATAGTTTTTCTTACATAATACTCTAAATCATAAGCTACACCCTTGCCCCAGAAAGAATATGTAGTTACAAAAATATTACACTTTTAATAAAAGCTTATAGCTAGTACTGCTGTTAATTAAAATAAAAAATTTCACTTAACATTTCTGAATAATCTCTTATAAAGAGATGCTACATATACTTAGATTTTACCTCTTTCAATATCATCCATCAGAGATGCTGGGGACATCTTGTCTTCAGATGGAGAATGTTTTACAATATTGGGAATCTTGGTTGAATTCCACATTTGTTGCTGTTGTTGCTCTATCCGATACTGAATCTTACTACTTCCTTCAACTCTACAATTAAGAATATCAAAGATCGAAACAGGTGTGACAGCAATGTAACAACAATTTCAACTTACAAAGTTACTAAAATTAACCACTTATTCTTTTCCCTAGACATCTTTAAAATTATATTCAAGAATTGAAATATTAATTTAATTCATTATTTAACAAGTATTTATTGAGTGCCAGCTATGTGTGTACATCCACATGGGTTTGTTAAGAGATATCCATGTGAACAAAAACCAAGCCACTGCTCAGATTGAACAGATAAGACATTCACAAACGACTAAAATAAAAGGAAAAAAATAAAGGTATAACAGGTACAATATATATTTTCTAAATTCTAAAATTATTATTTCTGTTAAAACTAAATCACTTTTACATTTTCTATTCATAACTTTTTTTTCCTCCCTGAGTCAGAGTCTCACTCTGTCGCCCAGGCTGGAATGCAGTGGCACGCTCATGGCCACCACTGCCTTGTCCTGTTGGGTTCTTCCTTCCACCTCAGTCTTCCAAGTTGCTGGAACTACAGGTGAGTGTCACCACAACTAATCCTTTTCTTTTCTTTCTTTTCTTTTTTTTTTTTTTGAGTCGGAGTCTCTAACCTAGGCTGCAGTGCAGTGGCATGCTCAGAGCTACCACCACATCTACCTGCTGGACTCAAGCAATCCCTCCACCTCAGTCTTCCAAGTAGCTAGAACTAGAGATGCAAGCTACCACACCTGGCAAATTTTTGATTTATTGTAGTGATGAGGTCTTGCCAAGTTGCCTAGGCTGGTCTCAAACCCCTGTGCTCAGTCAGTCCTCTTGCCTCTGCCTCCCAAAGTGCTGGGATTATAGGCATGGGCCACCACGCCTGGTTTCTATTCATAACTTAAGACAGACATGTTAATAAAGGAGATTCATATATTTTTCTCTCAACATCTTAGAAAAGAGTATATAACAAAATTATGCTTGACTTTAGATCCTATTTCGTCACCAAATCATGTCAGTTCTTCCTTCAAACAGTATCTATTTATCTTGTTCTATTTTTATTGTTTTGAGTTGGAGTCTCACTCTATTGCCCAGGCTGGAGGGCAGTAGCATGCTCACAGTCACCCCAGCGTCAACCTGCTAGGCTCTGGTGATCCTTCTGCCCCAGTCTTTCAAGTAGTCAGAACTACAGGCACATGCTACCACGTCCGGCTAATTTTTTATTTATTGTAGAGACGAGGTCTTGCCAAACTGCCTGAGCTGGTCTCGAACCCATGGGCTCAGGCAATCCACTCGCCTTAGCTTCCCAAAGTGCTGGGATTACAGGTTGAGTCACTGAGTCTGGCTGTATTTATTTATTTTAAATATTATTTTATTATAGAGATGTGGAGTACAAGTAAGGGTTAACTACAAGTAGGCTGCATGCAGGTGAAGTCTGGACCTGCAACGGCCCCTCAATTCCCCTGGTTTACAATTTAAAAATATTTAGAACCTCATTTTCTCTTCATTCCTGTTTTCAAAAATCCCACTTTATATATTTTTCTTTCCCACATTGTTACATTTATTCAATTCCTCTGCTGGATTAATGCTTCAAAATGAAGCTGTAAGCATGCCAATTCCTGGTTTAAAAGACTTTAATATGTAACCATTGCCAGTAAGATAATTAATTTCTTAGTTAATATTGAAGGCATTAACCTCAACCTACCTTTACAACATTACCTTTAACCCAACATCAACATTGCCCTCTACTTTCTAAATCTTAAACATAGGTACAGAGGCAAATCCATTTGTTCAAATAGGTCTTATTCATTGGCCCTGAATAAGTCAGATATTTCCTGTATTCAAACCTTGCTTACATCCTTATATTCACTCTGATCAATTATATCAGTATTTCTTTCTTTTTTTTTTTTTGAGTTGGAGTCCCACTCTGTCGCCCAGACTGGAGTGCAGCGGCCGCTCCCGGCCACTGCAGACTCAACCTGCTGGGCTCTGGTGATCCTTCTGCCTCAGCCTTCCAAGTAGCTGGAACTACAGGCATGCGCTATCACGCCTGGCTAATTTTTTGATTTATTGCGGAGATGAGGTCTCGCCAAGTTGTCCAGGCGGGTCTCAAACCCACGGGCTCAGGCAATCCACTCACCTCAGCCTCCCAAAGCGCAGGATTACAGGTTGAGCCACCGAGCCCGGCTTTATATCAGTGTTTCATACACTTTCCTACTAGTAAGAATCACAGGCTAGGTGCGGTGGCTCACGCCTATAATCCTAGCACTTTGGAAGACCAAGGTGATAGGATTACCTGAGTCCACTGGTTCAAGACCAGTCTGGGCGACTTGGCAAGACCCCATCTCTACAATAAATAAAAAAATTAGCTGGGTGTAGTGGTGCCTGTAGTTCTAATTACTTGGAAGGCTGAGGCGGAAGGATCACCTGAGAACAGCAGGTCAAGGCTACAGTGGCCATGAGTGTGTCACTGCACTCCAGCCAGGGTGATAAGAGTGAGACTCCAATTCAAAAAAAAAAAAAAAATCACAGGAGGCATGGTGGTGGAGGTGAGGTGATAAATAATAGAGTTTCTCAGGCTCCTTCCCTGATCTGAGGTTGCATTTGGAAACTCATAGTTTTAAACACCCAAGGTAATTCTTAAAATTTTAACCTCCTCTCAAGGTATATTAGTAAGGCCTCCTTAAATGTTCCAATCTAAATTGACCTCTTAACTCCTAGAGCAATTTTTGTCTATTCTATTTGTATGGTGTTTAGAATAGGTGCTCTAGTATTACATGGTAAGTATTGCACCATCTATTTCCAAAAAGGACTTGAGATGATTATATTTTCCCATTGACTTTTTAAATGAAAGTCTATTAATTTGATTAAAATGTAGAAGCTTTAAGGTATTTACATAGCAAACTTTCCTTTTTCTGTGCCTTTCATATTCTAGGTGCTCAATACATTTCACTAATGAAAACAAAATTTTTTGGAATGTGTACAAGGATTCTTTTCAGTTCAGTTATATAGAAATATCTCCAACTGAATAAAAAGTACGCCTACACCTATAGAAAGCATTTAGAAGCAAAACAAGTTTTTATATATCACAGAGTGATGTGATAAAAGTTTTTGGCTTAGGATCTCCATTGAATTTAAACTTAGAAAAAAATTAAAACATTTTTGTATACAATATAACCCTTATATTATAATGTGAATTAATCCAGTAACATTTTTCCTGGCATTTCCTTAGAAATGTATGTGTTGATAATATAATTTATTTCATTAAACCACATACCTTGTTTTTTTTACAGAGATATTGCTGCTGAGTTTTTCTAGTCGACATTCTCCAGTATCATGGTTAATAATCAAAATGCATTCTTTTAAGTAAGGTTTCTTTGAACCTTTGAAAACAGTGACTGGTGGAGTTGAACCCTGTTTAAAAAGTTAATTATCATTACTTGAAACTTATCATAGAAAATTCACTTGGAAAGGCCTTTGAGATCTTCTGATATTGTGCTTCTCATTCCATGTTATACTTCAAGTTACGTATAAAATACCTGCATTTACTAACTTGAATCCAAAAAGTGTGGTTAAGACAGATGAAGAGAGGCTGAGATCTCAGAGCTGCTCTCATTGAGGAAAGGGAAGAGAGGAGGTACTTACCTTGAGTCAGTAAAGATTTGTTTCACTGGCCTACGATGGGTAATTGGGATTCAATTCTAAAACATATTTTATAGACAAGGAAACACAAGCTTTGAATCATATTTCCTACCCCTCTTCTTTTTCCTTGTAAGTTTTATTTTTAAAATCTGGTATTTTTTTTATTTTTTGAGTTGGGGTCTCATTCTGTTGCTCAGGCTGGAGTGCAGTGGTACACTCATAGCCACCGCAGTCTCGAACTCCTGGGCTCAGGCAACCCTTCTGTCTTAGCCTTCTAAGTAGCTAGAACTACAGGTGCGCACCACCATGTCCATCTAATTTTTTGATTTATTGTAGAGATGAAGTCTTGTCATGTTGCCCAGGCTGGTCTCAAACTCCTAGGCTCAGGCACTCCACTTGCCTCCACCTCCCAAAGTGCTGGGATTACAAGTATGAACCAGCGTGCCCAGCCCTAAAATCTGGTATTTTCTTAAAGCAGTATATCCCTATGCAGATTAAGGAAAATAAGTCTATCAAGGAATACCTGCTATACTAAATCCACGGATAAATTTTAGCTTCATTAAAAGTGAGATAATCAGATATTATATGCTTTATGATGTGATATAAAACAAAGTACACAGCATCACACATAAAATACTCTTGCCAAAAAACAAATCATACAAAAACCCCAAAGAATTTCACTCTCATCAAAAACCCCCAAATTTGTCATCTATCTAGTCTGTCCTTAGATATGTAACTACCAGTTTGTAGGAAATATGGATAAAGAAACAAGTTAAATAATACCAGTTGGAAGAAATCTGAAATCCAGGATGTAGGTATATTCTCTAGGACAGACAAACTGTTATCTCCAATAAACCAATGGCATACAGGGAGCTGAGCACAGGCACCTATAGTGCCAGTTACTGAGGAGGGCGAGGTAAGCAACATTGAGGCAAGGATCACTTGAGGCTAGGAATTCAAGGTTGCAGTATGCTAGGATCATGCCTATGAATAGCCACTGCACTCCAACCAAGGCAACACAGTCAGATCTTGTCTCTAAAATAAATTATTTATTTATTAAAAAGGGAAGAGGGCTAGGTGCGGTGGCTCAAGCCCATAATCCCAGCACTTTGGGAGGCTGAAGTGGGAGGATTGCCTAAGCCCAGGGTTTGAGACCAGCCTGGGTAACTTGACAAGACCTCGTCTCTACAATAAATTGAAGAAAAAAAATTTAGCAGGGCGTGGAAGCACGCACCTGTAGTTCCAGCTACTTGGAAGGCTGAGGTGGAGGAAAGGGATTTTTATAGAATAAAAGATACAAGTATAGATAGATCAAGAATTATTATTAATTCTGCTAAGTGACATAATAGCATGGTAATTAGATGAAAATAGAAATAATCTTATCAGGGATAACTAAGCAAGCTTTTATGAAATGGCATAATGTCTGGGATTAGCTTTAAAATATACCAGAAAAAAAAACGTGATAAGGAAATAGATTTTAAAAATTAGCAAAATGTTGGTAATTGTTGAAGCTCAGTGATGAATATATGTGGTTTATTATACTATTCTATTTTCTGTAATAAAAGGTTAAAGAAACTTAGATCATTACTAATAATCTACGTTGGCTAGTTTTTGCATTTTATAAAAGTGTATTAAATTTTTAATAGATGTATTATAGGCACAGTGGCTCACACCTGTAATCCTAGCACTTTGGGAAGCCAAGGTGAGAGGATTGCTTGTGCAGGATCGAGGTCAGCCTAGGCAACACAGTGAGACCTCATTTCTACAAAAAAATTTTAAAATTCAAGGCCGGGCATGGTGACTCATGCCTATAATCCTAGCACTTTGGGAGGCTGAGGTGAGAGAATTGCCTTAGCTCACAGGTTCAAGACCAACCTGGGCAACTTGGTGAGACCTCATCTCTACAATAAATCCAAAAATTAGCCAGGTGTGGTGGTGCATGCCTATAGTTCCAGCTATTTGGAAGGCTGATGTGGAAGGATCGCCTGAGCCCAGCAGGTCGAGGCTGCAGTAGCCATAACCATGCTACTGCACTCTAGCTTGGGAGACAGAGTGAGACTCTGACTCATTACAAGAAAAAAAAAATCAGCTGGGCGTGGCCTGCACCTATAGTCCCAGCCTCTTGGGAGGCTGAGGCAGGAAGCTTACCCAAGCCCAAAGGGTTGAGGCTGCAGTGAGCCATGAATGTGCCACTGCACTCCAGCCTGGGTGATAGAGTGAGACTCCAACTCAAAAAAATATTTTTTTTAAATTATAGATTATAATAATTTTGTTAAATACAATAGTACTGTTAGATCAGATTAGAAAAGGGTGATTTCAAAAAGACTAAAGAGTATATATTAAATAAGTTGATAATATTAGAGATTTACTCAAGTACCACTAGGAGGAGTATGAGATAAATTTGGTGATTGAAAATACAATAAAAGAGGAGGAGGTCAGCCATTTCTGAAGGTATAGAGAGAAAATGATGAAAATGAAAGAAAGAAACAGGTTTTTTTTAACCTCTTCCTAAGACTAAAGTGATCTCCAGAAAATCAAGAATGCACAGCACATAGATGAGGACATGGCTGGGCAGGTTCTGGAAGGGTTAGATGTGGAGTACTTAGCTGGAGCCCCGGTAAGCTGGAGAGCCAGAAGCATGACCGTGATAAAACAAACTGGGTTTACTTGACTGGTAAGTAAATTTTTCAGGAATGTTGGTTGAAAATAAGTAAGATACCCCAAAAGAGTAACCCAAGGATTCCAAATAACAGTTGATAAGAGATTTATGCAACATATTCTTTTTAAAGACATATGCATTCTTACTTAGAATGGAATATATTTAAATCTACAAATTACAATGTATTATTGTTCTATGAGCTTCTGAGGAATAAGAACTGATCATTAATTTTTAAAGTTCCTCCCAGAACCTAAAGAAGTGCCAAGGCCTTTATAAATATTCCGTAAATATTAAATACCAATATTTCTGGTCATAGGTAACAAATTAAGTAAGCCTTTCATAATCTCTATACCTGCCTTCTGCACTTTCAACAAGTTTATGCAAATTTTTTTTTTTTTTGAGTCGAAGTCTTACTCTGTTGCCCACGCTGGAGGGCAGTGACATGCTGACGGCCACCACAGCCTGGACCTGCTGGGCGCAGGCAATCCTTCCACCTCAGTTTTCCAAGTAGCTGGGACTACAGGTGTGTGCCACCACCCCCGCTAATTTTTTGATTTATTGTACAGATGAGGTCTCACCAAGTTGCCCAGGCTGGTCTTGAACCTGTGGGCTCAGGCAATCCTCTCATCTTGGCCTCCCAAAGTGCTGGGATTATAGGTATGAGCCAATGTGCCCTGCCTAGTTTATGTAATTTAATGAGATATGCAGTCACTTATTTTATTTTGTGGTGTGTGTCTTTTGGTTGACCATCCTAGGTCAGTCATTCAAACAAAGTAGCTATAAGCAATTCTGTGTGGTTTGTAAAGAATGGCAGGTAAAGAATATTGAGCACCATTCCTAACTTTTAAACTCTAATTTCTATCTATTCCCTTATTCCATACCCCAAGAAAGACAACTATTAAAGTACCAGAAAACTATTAAGCCTATGAACTATCTTTGCCTCTAAATAACTACTGAATACCTCCTATCATCTCCATGTTCATTGCTATTATCCAACTTCAGAACATAACCATCATTTCACCTAGATTACTATTATCCTTCTCCCCACTCTCTTTCCAATTTTGTTCCCTATTCTAATAACAGTCATATCTAATCATATTGTTCTCATGCTTAAAAACTTTATGTACTTAAAAAACTTAATACATTCAGGATAAAAGTCATATTCCATAAACCTGTACCAGGGGCTCTCCATGATCTTCTCATCTACTCTCCAGCATTCTCAGCCTGTCACTCTTTATAAAACACATATAATTGCTCATAGTTAGAATGAATGACCTAGGATGGTCAACCAAAAGACATACACCACAAAATAAAATATAAAATAAGTGAGTGTGTATCTTATTTAAATAAAAATTAAAAAGTAATTAAAGGATTCTTAACCATACAACAAATGAATCAGAACAAAAACCTTAATATGGGGGAATGAAGAAAAAACAGTAGTGAGTAAAATCATCTCACTATTTACATATATTTAATTTATTTTTGTTTTTAGTTGGAGTCTCACTCTGTCTCCCAGGCTGGAGTGCAGTGGCAGGCTCACGGCCACTGCAGCCTCGACCTGTTGGGCTCAGGTGATCCTTCTGCCTCAGCCTGCCAAGTAGCTGAAACTACAGGCACATGCTACCATGCCTGGCTAATGTTTTTTTAATTTATTGTAGAGATTAGGTCTCACCAAGTTGCCCAGGCTGGTCTCGAACCTGTGGGCTCAGGCAATCCTCTCACCTCAGTCTCTCAAAGTGCTGGGATTAAAGGCATGAGCCACCACGCCCGGCCTACATAAACTTAATTTTAAATACATAAGGACAGACTAAGAATGCATAATTAAGAGGTGAATAAGTATTCTTGACATGAAGATATTCTGCAATGTAATAGGCTATCTTGGCAAAACTTAGGTGTTTGCCTGAGGTGGAAAGGAGAAGTGGAAGAGAGGAGGAAAAAGTCATCTTATTAAGGGACAGTAAAAGTATTCCAAAAATCTTATTTGATAGAAACAGGAAAACAGTAGAGGAACTCAGTTTTCATATAAAAACAGAGAATTATATGCCTGATTATAAACATACCAGGAAAGGAAAGGAATCGGTAATGGAAAAGTACACTAGTATTCCCAATGTAA